ATCACTGTCAAAAATAATAAGATCGTCCACATAGATGAGAAAATTACTCTGCATAGCTGCATGATTGAAGGTAAATAGAGAATAATCATAAAAAGATTGCTAAAAAACCTTACCGGTGAATTGCACTGGCCAACTTGGCAAACCAACACCTTGGAGCATAGCGTAAACCATGAAGAGAATGATGAAGATGACAAATAGACCCGGAAGAGGGAGATGAAAACCCAAGAGGTAACTTCATGTAAACTTCTTCATCTAATTCACCATAAAGAAAAGCGTTATGAACATCCACCGGATGAAGATCCCAACCTTTGGCAGCTGCCACTGAGTAGAGTACGAACAGTCAGCATCTTTGCTACTGGAGCGAAGGTTTCATTACAATCAAGACCCTCAATCTGGTTGTTGCCCAACATGACCAGATGAGCTTCGTAACGCTCAACAGATCTATCAGAATGATATTTAATTTTGAACACCCATTTGCACTAGCTAGCATGTTTACCAGGAGGGAGAGAAGCACTAGTCAAAGTGCCATTTGTTTCCCAAAGCTTAATTCCTTGTTTCATAGCGGCGTGCCACCAAGCACCTTTAACTGCTTCTGAAAAAGTGTGAGATTCAACTCCTGTAGTAATGGTAGCCAAAAATGCTCGATGTGATGGGGAGAAAAAAGCACAAAAAACATAGTTGTGTATAGGAGCGAGCACACCTGAGGAAACTAATGAAGAAGATGAGTAGAGAGAGGGGGGGCTTAATGAAGAACAAACAATATGAGGAAGGGAGGTTTTACTCTTTTTAGGTTACCGTCTTTTGATTTTTGCGGCTCATAAGGGAGAGTGTGGCTGCTGGGCGTGGGAATGGAAAAGAATAAAAATAGATTTTAAAAAAAAGAAATAAATAAATTTCACGCATTTTTTTGGAAATTTGTTTCCTTAAAGAAAGTGAAAATTAAAAAATTTATGTCAACCAGTTCGTACCGATTCTAAAATTGACAGCGAGTCTTGACCGGTTGCATATAGTTCTAGCTTTTGCCTATGACCGAATCATTATATAGATTGGTTCCGGATTTAACCGGTTGTACTAAGCAGTTTGGTCTGAGTCTGACAACACTGCTCCAAACCTGTTTTAATTCTCTTTATGTATGTCTCTTAAAAAAAATTTTTGTGCTTTTCTAATGTTTCTTTTATATAATCATTACCTCCGAAAACTTCCTTTTGGTTCGCGAAATCAAGTTTACGAAAGGCTAGATCGAAGATTTCTGAAGAAGAAATTACGGTTGGAAATTACGGTATATGTTTAATTGTTGGAACTGTTTCTTCCAAAGGTTTATAGGTAGTGAAATATCAAAAATATGATTTTTAAACTGGTTGATTACAAATATGAGAATGAAAATTAATGTAAATTTGTATAGGTTTCAATTTATAGCAAAAAAGACCTCACCTCACCATTGCAAATAAAAGAATAAAGTAAGTAAAAGAGCCCATTAAAAATTGAGAAATTATTTTTTTTATGTATAAAAACACAAATAAACATAGAAACGTCATTCCTTCCCTCTCCATCTGAAATTCATAAAAGGCTTCCCCATAAATTAGTTAGAAGAAGTAAGCTGAACTATTTATACGATGAGGAATTCAAAAAAGTCCAAAAACCAAATCCAAAAAAGTATATTCTTAAAACCCCGACTACACACAAAAAAAAATGCGCTTCATTTGCAAAAAATAATAATAATAATAATAATAATAATAATGATAATTGGTCAACTGGAAGTATGAAACAAAATCAAAAGCAATTAAACAAAGAAAAAAAACAATTCACAACTGACCATATACGAAAAAAAAACTGAGACTCCATAATTAAAAAAGAAAACCACTCTAATTGAATGAAATATAAAAAAAAAAAATCAAAAGAACCACACTTAGTAACAAAAACCCAATTGATCAACTCAATCCAAATAGAACTAAAATCATACAAAAATTATAGTCTAACTAACCATATAAGAAATCACATCACATTACCTGACAATGGGTGGACGCATAAAAATAATAGTAATAACTCTATTCTTAAATGGGAAAAACAAAAAACAAATAAAAGCCGTACAAATGATTTGTGGATATAAAATTATTTAAATTTTAATATTTGTAATGGCACCACCACAACGGACGAAGCAAGATCAATGAGAAATTATTTTTTTTCCTTTGTGTTTACATAAAGAGTTAAGAGAAAATTTTTTGAAGTAAAAATTTTATCCGATTAGGATGTAGTTGATCATCACTAATGAAAAGATTGAACATGCCAATAGGAAAGTAGTATATTTCACAACATATTCTCAATTGATGATTGATGAGGAATTTGTTTTTTTTTTATTGTGGAGAAGTGATTGATTAAAGAGTCGATTGTCGTGGAGATGGGGATGCGAATTTTGATTTTTTATGAAGCTGTGGTTTTTTTTTTAGCGAAAATAGGAGGTGGTGGTGGATTTGGACTGCATTTGTCTTTTAAGTCTAGAAAACTGATTTGTAAATAAAAATTTATTTTAAAAATATGATGTGGAAATTCCACATGGCAAATGGTGGTGCTTTCTCTTAAGTGTGGTTTTTATTCCTAATATAGTAAGATATAGGGGTGTGCACGGTCCGGATAGTTTGGTTTTTAGCTAAAACCGATAAATTAATATGTTAGAACGGTTTGAAAAATTTTGATTCTAAAACCAAACCGTTATGCAGTTAGAAACCCTACCAAACCAATCCGTTAGTAACGGTCCGGTTTCTACAGTTTTACAGTTTAGTTTCACTTTGGGATTTTTTTTCTTTGGCCAAAGCGTCGACCCTTTATTTTTCCTTTTGGGCAAAAATAGAGTTTTTTTTAGTTGTAACAAAAAGAATAATAAGATCTGGATAGCAGTGCTATCACTGTCAAAAATAATAAGATCGTCCACATAGATGAGAAAATTACTCTGCATAGCTGCTTGATTGAAGGTAAATAGAGAATAATCATAAAAAGATTGCTAAAAAACCTTACCGGTGAATTGCACTGGCCAACTTGGCAAACGAACACCTTGGAGCATAGCGTAAACCATGAAGAGAACGATGAAGATGACAAATAGACCCGGAAGAGGGAGATGAAAACCCAAGAGGTAACTTCATGTAAGCTTCTTCATCTAATTCACCATAAAGAAAAGCGTTATGAACATCCACCGGATGAAGATCCCAACCTTTGGCAGCTGCCACTGAGTAGAGTACGAACAGTCAGCATCTTTGCTACTGGAGCGAAGGTTTCATTACAATCAAGACCCTCAATCTGGTTGTTGCCCAACATGACCAGATGAGCTTCGTAACGCTCAACAGATCTATCAGAATGATATTTAATTTTGAACACCCATTTGCACTAGCTAGCATGTTTACCAGGAGGGAGAGAAGCACTAGTCAAAGTGCCATTTGTTTCCAAAGCTTAATTCCTTGTTTCATAGCGGCGTGCCACCAAGCACCTTTAACTGCTTCTGAAAAAGTGTGAGATTCAACTCCTGTAGTAATGGTAGCCAAAAATGCTCGATGTGATGGGGAGAAAAAAGCACAAAAAACATAGTTGTGTATAGGAGCGAGCACACCTGAGGAAACTAATGAAGAAGATGAGTAGAGAGAGGGGGGGCTTAATGAAGAACAAACAATATGAGGAAGGGAGGTTTTACTCTTTTTAGGTTACCGTCTTTTGATTTTTGCGGCTCATAAGGGAGAGTGTGGCTGTTGGGCGTGGGAATGGAAAAGAATAAAAATAGATTTTAAAAAAAAGAAATAAATAAATTTCACGCATTTTTTTGGAAATTCGTTTCCTTAAAGAAAGTGAAAATTGAAAAATTTATGTCAACCAGTTCGTACCGATTCTAAGTTTGACAGCGAGTCTTGACCGGTTGCATATAGTTCTAGCTTTTGCCTATGACCGAATCATTATATAGATTGGTTCCGGATTTAACCGGTTGTACTAAGCAGTTTGGTCTGAGTCTGACAACACTGCTCCAAACCTGTTTTAATTCTCTTTATGTATTTCTCTTAAGAAAAAAATTTGTGCTTATCTAATGTTTCTTTTATATTCTCATTACCTCCGAAAACTTCCTTTTGGTTCGCGAAATCAAGTTTACGAAAGGCTAGATCGAAGATTTCTGAAGAAGAAATTACGGTTGGAAATTGGGAACGACCAAAAAAGAAAGTAAGCTAAGTCAGATTTTCAATTCATACACAATTATGTGATCATCTTCTTACAAACCCAATGCCAACTATTTATACTCCAAATATTTTCTAATACGACAAATTAATTAAGTCTTGCAATATGAAATTAGGGCAATTAAGTTCCTCAATTCGTGGCAGGGGGTGAATGATAAAGTTATTACTACTATATTCCGACAGGTTATTGGTTTGAATAAGTCCGTCCGCTCTAATTAAGAACGTGGTTGGGTTTTCATAATGTTAGAAAATATATTTAAATATATGATATTTTTTTGAAAATAAATTTGACCTTTTAGTTTGTATCAAATTGACTTCTAATGCAATATCCGTCCTCCTATCATCTTTTCTTTTCATTTTTTTCTGTTTGTGTGTCACCTTTATTTATTCAATGGACGTCCAACGTTTGTTCGTCTTTTCTTCTCTTTTAATCTTTTTCTTCTCCGTAATACAGAAAATGTGGTGTGAAAAGGTAGAAATCCTGAAAATTATTGGGGATGAAGAAGACAACCCCGGGGTTTTTTTTTTTTTTTTTTTTGACAACAATGGTCAAAAGGGAGATAACTGTATGCAATATTTCTTAGAATGGACTAACTGAAAGAAACTTATCTTGTATTATAATAAGCATAATTTTCATAGTTAATTGGCAGTCTAGCAGGAAGTACTCCAGACTCATAATCCAAGCAAAAGCGGAAATAGGGATACATAGAGTATAATCTTATTTCAATAATTCATAATTCCCATAAACCAGTAGTATGTAGTAGGGATTTTGATGGCCGGGATGATAATTTTATACTACTTGTTCAACCACGAGTTGGTCCTCTGTCCGAGGCTTGGATTAGGATTGTACATTTTGGAGAGGTAAAATCCATCATCTCTGACCAGCCAATAACAGTATAAATCATCATTAGAAATTGCATCACCGCAGCCGCCGGAAAGACCAACCTTAAGATCATAGACGGCAAAACCTTGCGTCTTTGTGGTCCAGTTGAAGCTGCAGAGGAATTTAGTCCACGGATGCGCGAAGAATTCCCACCTGTAGAGCTCTCCCGAATGGAGATCTCTATATCCAAGCTCATCATCTCCCGAAAAACAATGGAGGACCAAGGGAGGACTATTGTTAGGAAGTGCGGATATAATCGACACATCGACTTGCCTCAATGGTATAGGAACTGGAAACGGGAACCTGCCGAACCTGTTTAGGCCGGCCGGAGACTCGTGGAGGCGGCTTAGGGTGGTAGTAGTTGAAGCTGTGGTAGCCGAAGCTGAAATGAGAAAAGCTAGAAAAGTAAGAAGTAATAATGCAAAATGAAGAATCTTCATTGTGGTGTTTGATTTGCTTGATTGAATTTATATTTCTGAAATTGGGTTAATTAGAGGACCCCTATATATAGGAGGGAGAGATTGGACAGAAATTAGTGGAGAGCGGCAATTACCCAACTAGCCCTAGACTTTTTGGCCAGATTTTTCACACAAAAGGTGATAAATTTCAAAGAGTTGAGACATAGTGACCTGCATGTTTTCTGCAGGAATTCCCCTCCGAGCTAAACAATAAAAGAACAAATCATCTATCTTGTTCTTAAAATACCCAGCCGAGATCGTGCCCTTGCGAACTCACTTTATAACAACTCACTTTATTCAGGAAATTAGAGTTAAGGAAATTTTCGTTTATGTTCGGATAAACATATGTATGTAACATATATATATATATAGGGGTGTGTACGGTCCGGATGGTTCCGTTTTTAGATAAGACCGATAAATCAATATGTTAGAACGGTTTGAAAAATTTTGAATCCGAAACCAAACCGTTATACAGTTAAAAACCATACCAAACCAATCCAGTATTAACGGTTCGGTTTCTATAATTTTACGGTTTAATTTCACTTTGGGATTTTTTTCTTTGGCCAAAACTAGGACCTTTTGTTTTCTCTTTTGGGCAAAAATAGAGTTTTTTTTAGTAGAAACAAAAAGAATATAACTTTTTTTACTTCTAATTATAATTTAACACTACACAAATCTCTAATTAAAAATAAACAACATCCAAAATGTTAACAAAAATGAAGAAACTAAAAAATAATTAAACTTCAAATTTCATACAAAAAAATCCTAAAAATAAAACGACACAAAATGGGGGACAAAAAAGGGCAATGAGATTCGAACATGGGAAAATGGAATTAGGCTTGAAGAAATTTTCATGAGTTAACCAGTTCATCCACATTAAACTTTTGATTAATAATTTTTTTTAACAAACAAAAAAAAATTTTAATGATAATAAAGAAAAAATGTGGCAACGAATATACTTAACCCTATATCAAATACAATTTTGAACTTAACGTAAAAATTAATCCTTGTTTAATCCAGCAGACCGACAAACTTGAACTTTATTTTTAGCCTTCGCTTTCTTTGATCGATTGTACTATGTGGGAGCAGAACTTTTGATTATTTATTCACATTTAAAAATATATAATAATTATAATATATATGTATAAAATAGTATAAATAGTCCGGTTTGGTTTGAATGACGGTTTTAGAATACCAGACCGTTATTTCCGGTTTGTAAATGTTGAATCCACTTATTTCAAAATAAAATTATAAAATCGAACCAAAAACTAAACCGCGATTTGGATTGTTCGGTTTGAGCCAAACCAAGCACGCCCCTATATATAAATATATATATATATATATATATATATATATATATATATATATGATACTCGGTTCTCCTCCCGTGTGTTATCCAAAATACGTGAAATGCATTATTATTAATTAGATATGAAAACAATACAAAGTAGCTTATCAATTATGGATTATGAAATAGAATTTAAAGAAAAATGAGAGATATAAATAATATGTATATTATGCAACAGTTAAAATATATTTTTAAAAAAACAGTGAAAATGAAGTGATATTAATAAATAGTGAATTTAGCATTCAAATTTAACCTTAATTGAATTAATTTCTATTATGCAAATAATATTGATCGATGTTAATTTCGTTGAACAATTGAAAAATGGACCAATGTACTAACGTTTCAACATTTAACCTTATGTTGTGCCAAACCTTTTCCACCTAATTATTTAGAGGAAATCATACAATTTGGTGCCGACTCTACTGCAGAGTCACCTCATTTCAGGCCAGATGCTGGGGATGTCCGAGAAGAGGAAGAATCTACGAAACAATCAGCAACACAAGGCAAAATTGACCCTGAAGTAGCAGTCCAACTACGAGGTTTTGGTAAGGGACCATTTGATAAAACTTAATTTGGATCTGAAGTTGGGAATATGAAGACTGAACCATAAATAATGAACTGATTAAGTTTGTCTTATTTGATAAAAATCAAAATCTGAGATTTGAATAAAATGTATAAAATATGAAATCTGAACACTGAAATATAAAGTATCTTGAATAATAATTTTATCTTAAAAAAAATAATGTGTATGAAACTACGATGATAAAAATAATAGTATTGCTATAAAATTTTGCATTACGAATAGTTAAATTTTATTATGTAATTGTTTTTCCAGTTAATAATAAAATCGTATGTTTATCATTATAAAAAATGTCATATATTTATAGTGAATATATATTTACCATGAACTTTAGTCGCATTTTAATTTTTATATTAAAATAAATATATGAAAATATAACAACAATTTATATGAGATTATATTATCAGACAGCACCAATCAATTAAATATTTAATCAATTAAGTTTAAGTGCTGCATAAGTTTATCAAACAAGGAAGTCGTATACCAAAACTACATGTATATTCTGTCATTGGTTTTGCTTCTACATCTTTTTCTGTACATGTAAGAAAAGAGAACCCTTTGATGCTGTCAAGGTAAAACATCGATTTTCAATGACAAACATGCTGAAGAAAATTAAAGAAAGAGAATGAGAAAACGGCGATTCTCTTCTGCCGTTGTTAGGGTTTGTTAAATTCTGAATGCCTAACTTACCGAGAAAGTAATCGAACTAAGATTTGCCTAAAGTTTTAGTAAATGCTAGTTGGACATGAGTGGGCACATAACTTAGTCTTGAAGAAATCGAGTTTATGGAAGGCTAGATCGAAGATTTCTGAAAAAGAAATTACGGTTGGGAATTATGGAACGACCAAAGAAGAAAGAAAGCTAAGTCAGATTTTCAATTCATACACAATTATCTGATCATCTTTTTACAAACCCAACACCAACTATTTATACTCCACATATTTTCTAATACGACAATTAATTAAGTCTTACAATATGAAATTAGGGCAATTAAGTCCCTCAATTCATGGCAGGGAGTGAATGATAAAGTCACTACTGCTAGATTCTGACAGGTTACTGGTTTGAATAAGTTCGTCCGCTCTAATTAAGAACTTGGTTGGGTTTTCATAATGTTAGAAAACATATTTAAATATATAATATTTATTACAAATAAATTTGACATTTTAGTTTGTATCAAATTGGCTTCTAATGCAATATCTGTCCTCCTCTCATCTTTTATTTTCATTTTTTTTCTATTTGTGTGTCACCTTTATTTATTCAATGGACGTCCAACGTTTGTTCGTCTTTTCTTCTCTTTTAATCTTTTTCTTCTCCGTAATACAGAAAATATGGTGTGAAAAGGTGGAAATCTTGAATTATTGGGCAAGAAGAAGATAACCCCGGGGTTTGTTTTGTTTTTTTTTTTTTTTGACAATAATGGTCAAAAGGGAGATAACTGTATGCAATATTTCTTAGAATGGACTAACTGAAAGAAACTTATCTTGTAGTATAATAAGCATAATTTTCATAGTTAATTGGCAGTCTTGCAGGAAGTACTCTAGACTCATAATCCAAGCAAAAGCGGAAATAGGGATACATAGAGTATCCCTCTCGTTACACGATTTCTTCTTCATATAGATAGATAAAGGATCTATGGGGCAATTACTTAGAAGTACATTTTGTGCTACAGCCCTTCCTATCGATAGAAAAGGATCCCATGATCTGAACCGATCTTACAGGATCGCAAATCCCAAGTTTGTCTATAAAGAGCGGATTTAATTGTATTAGTGTCTATAATTGATTTCTTCTGTGTAATACTAATGGATAGGGCCTCATCGGTAAGTGCTACAAGATCTCGTACATTGGAATCCATGGTTATGGACCCGAATCCATTAGTATGGAACATTTTCGTTTCCAAGTGAAATCCCCTAGTATATGAAAGAGTGAAAAAGTGCTTTCGTTGTTGTGGAATAAGAAGCCTTCGTATCTTAATGCACGTATTTAATTTACTCGGAGCTATTAGAGCGGGATCCACTTTTTGTGGAATAATCTTTATTTCAATAATTTATAATTCCCATTAACCAGTAGTATATACGTAGTAGGGATTTTGATGGCCGGGATGATAATTTTACACTAGTTGTTCAACCACGAGTTGGTCCTCTGTCCGAGGCTTTGATTAGGATTGTACATTTTGGAGAGGTAAAATCCATCATCTCTGACCAGCCAGTAACAGTATAAATCATCATTAGAAATTGCATCATCGCAGCCGCCGGAAAGACCAACCTTAAGATCATAGACGGCAAAACCTTGCGTCTTTGTGGTCCAGTTGAAGCTGCAGAAGAATTCAGTCCACGGATGCGCGAAGAAATCCCACCTGTAGAGCTCTCCCGAATGGAGATCTCTATATCCAAGCTCATCATCTCCCGAAAAACAATGGAGGACCAAGGGAGGACTATTGTTTGGAAGTGCGGATATAATCGACACATCGACTTGCCTCCATGGTTTAGGAACTGGAAACGGGAACCTCCCGAACCTGTTTAGGCCGGCCGGGGACTCGTGGAGGCGGCTTACGGTGGTAGTAGTTGAAGCTGTGGTAGCCGAAGCTGAAATGAGAAAAGTTAGAAAAGTTTTACCCGTATCTACTCGCTTATATTTCGTTTGTTTTTTTTCTTAATAATGCTTACTCAACAAGACAAATATATGTAAGGTCCAAGTTTTATATTAAAAAACACATTTTTTTTGGATGTGCTTTGTAGATGAATATAATAAACCTATAACAAAAGAATTTTAAGATTTCGGTTGTCGGGGGTGCTTGGCCTTCTCCGAGCCACTATACTACAACCGCCCCTGCTTGGGTTGGACGGAATATGGGTGCTTGACTTTTGGGTGAGCCAAACCCAAAAGTGTGGAACAAAAAATGTGTAGGGTTTATTTTGTGGACAAATATAATGTTTTCGCGCTTTGAAAACGCGAAACAAGAAAATTAGATTAACAATTCGCATTTGTGAAACGCGAATCATTTTAATCATCTTTTCCAAAAATTCAACCGGGACGAAAAGAGAAAAGAAATTGAAT